CAGGTAAAAAAAGGGGAGGGCGGATACTGCATCTATGTTATAATTTTCTTGTCGTTAAAGTATAATGTTTCAACCAAGTATTCTATGTTTTTTTAAAATAATTTTCTAGTGTGTCAAACAAATAATAAATAAATAAATAGATTGGGGGCCGCTTGGGGTAGTCCCTTTCGTTGTGCTACACCCAAAAAAAGTCATTTGGAGCATTTATTTGCATAAAATTAACAATAGTCAAAACACACACACGCACACAGACACACACAATATCCTGGGACATTGGTTATCCACTAATTTAGTTGTACTTTTATACGGACTTTCTAATTAATAGAAATTGTAAATCAATTAAATTATTCTTTGTCATAAAACATTGATTTAGTGTAAATGTTGTATTCTTCAGACTTAATCGCACTTAATTCTGGAATAGAAGTTGCACCAGTCAAAAAAAAAAATGCATGAAGAAAAAAAAAATTGCTCTCGATTACAGGTCACATTTTGGGGGGAAACTGAGACCGGCACCAGTTGAGCTTGGGCTGGCATACAAAATCCCCATTTCCTAATCATTTTCATGGCATTGAATGAGTTGTGTTTGGATTCAAAAGTTCTAATTGCAGAAAGTTTTTCTTTTTAATTTAATATGGCTTACATTAATCCCTCGTTTCATTGTGACCTAAGGTATAACCCCGGTTATTAAAAAAATTGTGAGTGTGTTTTTTTGTATTTGTAGGGAGGCATACAGTTACTTTACATAAAGGAAGCCGCAAATATTGTGCCATCTCTTTTTTTTTCATTCATAGAATTTGAAATGTTAAATCATGCTTCTAAGTCATCAAAGCAGTTCAGGGAAGGGTAAGCGTGAGAACAGTCTTAATAGCTTAAAACCAACAGTGGCATCACATGGCTTTAAATAACAAACACAATGTGACTTTTCTCTCTTTAAAGTTAGATTCCAAGAAAGATGATGATTCATCAGGGAAGTGTAATTGATTAGGGTGTGCTGGAGGTTATCCCAGCTGTCATTGGGCAGTAGGCGGGGGACACCCTGAACTGGTTGCCAGCCAATCGCAGGACATAGACCAACAACAATTCACGCTCACAATCACACCTAGGGACAATTTAGAGCAGGGGTGTCAAAGTCAAATGGACGGAGGGCCAGATAAAAAATTTTGCTGCAAGCCGAGGGCCGGACTGATCGAATGTAAATTGAAAATTTTAAAAATGACCACATATTGTTTATTGAACCAAATTTAATTGACTGAAAACCTAACAAATACATTCCAATATGGTCAGATAAATAAAGCAACATTTTTTTATGGCTACGTCAGTAAACTTTAATTTTCAACAGGCACAAAAAAATTTCCTTTGTATAAAAATACCCATAACATGAATGAAAGAAGACGATATTATTCAAGGCACTATCACTAGTCCATATTTTCTCTTTTAGCAAAAGTAGGCTAAATTTACGAAGAAAAACAAATAATAGTACAGTAATTTTCGATCATTTACTCGAATAAAATATTTTTAAAACATAATTGGATTGAAATACAATAAAATAAAGTGCAAAAATGTATAAACCAAAAACAACACTTTCTTCAAGAAGTAACAAGCAGCGAAAGCAAATATTGCACTTTAATTTTTAAACTTGAACTGAGTAAAAACGCTTAATATGTGATTGCACAGTATATTATAAGTAATATTCACTTCTTTGAG